CTATGCCTTGTAAAGAAATAACCAGTTCCAAACGGCTTTCCCTACGGAGTTATTGGACAGTCCAAAATGTCCTCATTAGGAAACTTGCACTGAACCACACAAATATTGCCATTGTGAATGGTGCTTGCATGTGGGACTATTACTTCATGCACAATGACATGAGACCAGAAAACATGTGAACAGGAAGCCAAGCCCAAGAGAGAGTTGGGGAGCTTCCAGCTTTCCATGGAGCACAGAAATGAAGCAAAATTCAGCAGAATACTGGACTCAGGTGTCTGGGAGCTGCAGAACAGTGCTCTGTCCATTCTGCTCCTCAGGCAGCACCAATCCTGGAGCAAACATTTATGTCAGTAGCTCCAAAATGACTGTGAAGAGGGTAGCCCTTGCTTATAAAACCAAGACTTTAAAGGGCTTCAATGATCTAAATGTAGAATAGCCCACAACATATGTGGAACTCAGTATATAGTTAACTTCTCATTGTGTTAATGGGAATTTCTCCAAGCATGTCTTGTCCCTGCTTTAAGCAATAAACTCCCATGATGCAAGATCCTGTTCTAAATTATTTACTTGGTGATTATTTTTATGGCTTTAATGATAATGCTTTTTTTTTTTTTAAACCAGTGGAATCATTTTAGCAACAATGGAAACCTATTTTCATAATTTCAAATGCCAAAACAACTTCTGAACTTTGGGGGAATTTTAAAGTAACTCATCAGAAGCTGGATGAAATTCAGATTATAAACAACTATTATCTCTTTGATAAGTGACAAAATTCCTTATATCTAGAGCTAAAATTAGCTTCTTAAATCTGTTTTTCAATGCATTGATACATTTTACCTACCAGAAAGAAATATTATCCGACTTTGTGAGACTAGCCATGAAGTCTGGGGATAAGCCCTTTTTGTAATAAATGGTATTTGCTCTAAGTGTTCAGGTGAGTCAAGAGCACTGAAATCCAGGAAATCCGATGAGGCTTTGCCATAGAAGATTAAGTGCTGAGCATAGAAAGGGTAAAAGGGTATGAGAAAAGTAAGGTTATCAAGTAATCAGACCTCAAGATTTGAAAAGTCACAGCTTCCTGTCTGCTAATCAGATTGTTTTCTATTCATTCTAAAAGTTAAATTTCTCCCATTTCTCATGTTTTAAAAAAATTTCAACTACCCAACCCTCCTATCCAATTGTACATCATTCAAGCATAGAGAAATAAACATCCTATCATATTGAAGGATGAAATGGATGTAGGCTAAGTAATAGACAAGAAATCATCTCCTTTGCTCTTAGGAATTAACTTCTTTACTTTAGTCTCTGAATAGGACCCTAATTCAAGGGGAGTGAAAATGTCCTGCTAAGAAAAGAGCTGCTTTTTGATGAATAGCTTAATTCTTTATGAATATGTATTCTTTATGAGTAAGTATTCTATTAGCCCCAGATCTTTTTCCTAGTCTCTGTTCTTTTCTGAAGACACAGAGGAAGTACAAATTACTCTTTTTTGAGAGTAGACACAGCTATTGGCAACCCTGCCCTAGACATGGCCTTCCTGTTGAAAAGTTAATGGGAAAACAATCCACTGGACAGCAGAGATACAAGATGAAAGCTCAGAGCCCAATGAACCCATATAGTGACATTTCTTAGGGGGCATCAAATACAATAAAGAGAGCCTGTTGTTTACATTTCTCCTTAAAATTTCTAAGAACATTATGGCAATTTTATACTTTTAAATAACTACTTTCTATTTTATTCAATGCTGAAGTCTAACTTTTCATTTACATCTTAACTCAACATTACTCTAACTAGGCAAATTTTCTAAAGTAAACTTCTATCTCCTCTCATTTTATGGTATTCCATTGTAGCTACCCAGTTTCTCAACTTTCAAACTAATATAACAGATGTTTCCTTTTTCTTCATTCCTTTCATTCAGTCTCCAATTCAAAAATGTTCTACTTCTAAATATCTCTGGAATCTCTGCCCCAATATTTACTCATACTTCTCAGGTCTTCAGCATTTACTTGTACAGTAAATTTCTATTTTTACTCATCATCTCCTAATTTATAGTAATCTCTTCCCTTAGGCCTTTGCATAACCCACACACCCTACTGGATATTAGATAATCTATATAAAATCTTATTAAAATATAAAGGACGTCTACACTACACCTTCTCAGCCCTCAAGTACATTCCTTCCTGTGTTTAGGATCCCACTGATTAAAGACTGATCCTAAAAGTTTCTAAAACTGGGAGAGTAAAGGAGTTTGTGCAAACAATGCTTCATCAGTAGTGATAGTTGATTTACATTTAAGTCCAAACTGCTTATCTCCATGTGAACCTATAAAACAAACTTTATTGTGCGTCATGAATCCGTCAATGCACGAGTTTGAGATTATAACAAAATACTGTATTTCTGACAAGTGATAAAATGCTTTATAATTGGAGAAATAGCTTCTTAAATCTGTTTTTAAATGTGTTCATACAATTTACCTACCAGAAAGAAATATTGACACTCACTAGAATATTTAGACAAAATACTTCTGCATGAAGCCCCTGACAAAAATCCTCCTCTTCAACACGCTAGTATCAGGAGAAATCATTGTCTATATTCAGGCTTTCAGCTCTCCTATGCTCTCCCCTTCTGGAGTATCCTTCCACACCTCAAACCGATCCTTTAAACTTCATACAATCAGGCCTCCCTAGTGGCACAAAGGAGTAAATCTCAGCACTATGAAGCTACCTGCAGTTTGAGCTCATTCCCTGGCCAGGGAGGTGACCACATGGCCAGCAGACCTCTTCTGACCCGCCTACTGCTCCCCTCAGCAATGCATTTCAGTAGACCCATCTGTTATGCTCCCCACTCTGTCTCTGGTGAATACTCTTAACACCCCTCTGCACCTCTGGCCTACACCCCAGTTCTTGTATGCATAAAGAAGTAAACCTTTTTTAAAAGAGTTAAGAAAAAAAAAACCTCACACAATCAATATCATCTTTGTGAAAGTTTCATATTTGTGAAGGATAATCACTGGGGCTTCACTCAGTTCTATCACTTAAAATTGAACACACTCCATTTTGCAGGTATTATGCTGATTACTATTGCTTGGGTTTGTTTTCTCAGAATATGTTTCTTCCCGGGGCAGGATATTAATCTTTTTCACATTTCCTCTAACTAGTGCTTAACATCCACATGTAAAATGCATAGAAGATGATCAATAAATCAAAGAATTGAATCAAAGATGAAATAGAATAAATGGAAAGTCTCCAAATTGACTGAGCCACTGCTACATTCACACATTGTAATACATATCTTACATATATTATTTCTTTTTAGTTCTTTCAATAATCCTTTTCTGGGGGTAAATAGTACTGGTCTTATTTTATAGCTGTGAAATAGTAGGCTGAGTCTGAAAGATATTGCTGCTGGTCATACAATCAAGTAATGGCAAAATCAAGGCTCAAAATCAGGTCCCATCACAGTCACAAGTTCTTTCTGCTATGACTGAGCATGCCTTTGAGGCTAATGTTAAGATTATGTGGTTGATCTTTGTAATTAAATTAGCTAGAGTATAGAATTTAGTGTTGACAGATCACTTAAATTTAGGGGTAAAAGCAACTAGAATCCAGCCTCATTTTCAACTTTAATTATGCCTTAGAATTTCTTGGAAGCCACAAAGAATTCCAAGGGGAAATGTCATTTAAAGAGAATCTAAAAAAGCAAACATAATTATACAATGTTTCCCATGTTTGTTGAATAAATAGTGAATAACTCCATTACAGTCTGACATTTGATATGAAATCTTTCCACTTGGTCCATTATCATGTAAATTACTGAACATGAGATAGAACAAATATAAGAGTTCAGGTCCTTAAGTATATATTTCTATTTAATGAAATATATATTTGATTATATATTAAATCTTAACATGATATATTAAGTATTCAGTTAATACATTTAATTATGTATATTTAATTATTCTGAACTCTTCTATATATATTATACATACATTTACATATACATTATATGTGTTTTTTTTAACATCTGTTGTATAAAGATGAAGACCATCAAGTTCAGTAGATTACTCATAGAACCATAGCACTTATGGTACATTATTGCCAATACGTATTCCTTATTTTCCTTACCTGAAATATTAATACACTAAATATTTATATACCACAATGCCCCAACTTCTAATTATGTTTTTATAAAGTTGAAGTGTACAGCTCTCCAATACAGAACTTTATTTGCTTGGCTTATTTAATTAGCAAATCATACTTTCTAAGTGTGCAGAAACTACCTTTTTCAGTGTGATTCTAGAGTTTTAAATCCACCTTTTCTTGAAAGACAGTTTTTCAAAGTAATGAGCATCAACCCGGAGGAAAAGATGGTTAAATCAGCATTCTCTACAGAAACAGAGTTTAATAGGATGTTGCCAGGGCTTAAAAAGTTAGTGTAGGATTCCTTCAATATTTAGAGCCTTCGGCTAGTCAGTGAAAAACTGCATACAAATCCACATGTCGGCTAGTTACAGTATTTTGGATAGTTTACACACCGTGCGAGTTTGCAACTGACACCGAGGGATGAGATTTATTTCATAGTGTAAAAGAAAACTTCCAGCAATTATATTTCCTGAAATTGTGAGCACTGAAAGCTGAGAAATTGATGATCAAAGATGTTGCCTAACGGGCCAGGTGAATGAATACCCAGGGGTCCTGGCCAGGGTAAGGTGAGGGGTATACAACAGACAGGATCAGGAGGCAGCACCTTGCCTGGGTCTTATTTTGTTAAGTAAATTATCAACAGCAATCTCTTTCTGCTATTATTATGCTATTATTATTAGAAGAAAACCACTTGGGTGGAGGACTTTGGCCAGAAACACACTTTCCATCATTTAGGAAACTGAATGAAGAAAACGATTCTGATGAATAAACAATGAAATGGACAGGGCAGTTAAGAAAAGTTTACTTCCTTCCTTTTCTTTTTTCTTAAAAAAAAAAAAAGCAGAGCATCATACTTACAAAAGCTGCCTCAAAATCTTCTCTAGAGAACAAGCCCTGGGAACTGGGAGCGCGCAGAGGAGCAGAGATAAGGTGGCAGCGGAACTTCCTTCCTCATCCAGAGAGCGAGAGTCATTGTTCCTTATCTCCCCTGACCTCCGACGTGGGGAGCCAGGAACGTCTGGCCTCTGACCCTCACTGCCCTCTTTCTGGCCTCAGAGTCCCGGATTGGGGGTTCCGATTTGTGGCTGAAGTCGCGCCGTTCCCCGCCCGCCCGGCCCGAAGATTCATCGGGGACTGTCTGCGGAGTGCTTGCAAGATGCAGAGGGTTATATAAGCCCGCGTATTATTATCATCACACACCCCCATAGAACCGGGGCTGCCAGACAAACAAAAGGCAGTTCCAAGAAAAGGAGGGGCAGAGGCAGAAGTTGCACTGGGGGTGAATTTCGGGACACTGCTGAACTGACTGGAAAAAAAAGGCAACTCAATATGTGTATGCAAACCTCGGCAAACAAACAGTGAGCGGCTTGCAGCTGGCCGGCTGGCCAGAAGTGGGGGGGGAGGCTCTTCTGAGGGAGGGGAGTTGGGGTTTTCAGGCGTGCAGTTCCCGCTCCCCTCACCCCAAGCACCCAGCACAGTAGCTGCCTGTGGCAGGATGGAGTGCTTGAGGAAGATGTGGTTTGGGGGAAGGCATGTGTTCCAGAGACCAAGTGCTTAGTAAACACTGATGTTTCTTACTTAGACTCAGACCAGGTGCTTTTCAGACTTCCCTTTATTTCTGGCCTCTTGTTTTCTTAATGATGGTTTGCAGGGAGTTCCCTGTGCCAGGCCCAAAACCTCTATCTTAAACGTCTAATTGTCTCTGCTCTTTTCACTGCGGGAGCAATAAACCAAGCCAGCGGGTTCTTTGCACTAGTGCTTGGGTCATCTGAGAAAGTTCTGAATTACTCTGAACACCAGTTTTCCCTTTACACTCCCACCCTCACTTGCTACCTCCTATTTTCTTTAGATTATTATTATCCTCCCTTATTCTGGGCACTGCTCCCCAACATCTAAGGAATTTCCTCATGCCGGCATTCACAACCTCCATTTGTCTCCACACTAATTTCCCACTTCCCAAGCCGCCCTCAGCTTCACCTACTCCAGTGCATTAGAATATGAATCATCCTCTAAAGATGGCTTTGCAGTGCCTTCATTTCCTTTTCACATCACCCTCTCCTCGGCCTGAAATGTCCTCACCCCCCTTCCTTCAAAGCACTGTTCACATCTCATCCCACCTTCCCCACTAATTCTTACCAGATTTCCCCCCCTTTTCTCTCTGTTGTCTGTCTCCCCATTGTCATTTCCCCAGTATCATCTGGCTTCATAGTTTTGGTACTTGCTTAGTTCTCTTACATGACCCAGGACAGGGGCCTGTATAAAATAGGGTAAAAATGTTCCCACTTTAACTAATAGCTAGTGAACCCTATCTGGACCATCTATCTAGGAGTAAAAGTGACTCCAACATCCATTGCTGAGGTTAAAAATTGCTGGTGGCCCAGAGTAGAAAATTTAGGATGAAGGTGTTACAAACTAGAAACTGGAGATGGGGGTAGAAATGATTAACATAATTGCTAACTAGCTGTAAAAATGAAAAAATCCTTAGGCGGGCAGCTATAGCAAGTGGCAAGCTGCTATAGAAAGTATCCAGAGGCTCAGAGCAGAGGTGCAGATATGGAGACTGAGAGTCACAATAGGGAATCAGTAGGGGTTCTTACATCAACCTAGTCACACCCTAGAAGTAATCCATTCAACAATAGATAACATTCTACAAAGGGGTGAAGGCCTCCCCAGTAGAACACTTATCAGTACAATTTCTGCACTGGGGAGATGCAGCTCCTGCCCTCCTGTATCTATGCAGGTGTCTCTTTTTACAAATCTGCCCCTTTTAGGGGCTGCTTTTCCTGTCCACTTGTATCTATGCATGTGTCTTTCTTTCCTTTTCTTATGTAATAGAACTACCTTTTGGTTATAACCAAAAGTCTACCTTGTGGGCACTCTCACCATGTGCTTTTCTCAGAGGTAACCCAAAGACCCTGCTCTCTGAACCCGTTTCCAAAAACGATATCAAAAACCATCAGGCGGGACCCTCCCTGGTGGTGCGATGGGTTAAAATGCAGCACTATGAAGCTCTCTGTAGCACAAGTTTGATTCCCTAGCAGGGAGGAGACCCGTATGACCTGGCAGACCTCTCCTGTTCTGCCCGCTGCTCTCCTTAGCAATGTGTTTCAGTAGATCTGCCTGTTCTCCCCACTCTGTTGTCTGGTTGAATACACCCCTCTGGCCTGTACCCTAGTTCTTGTATGCATACATAAATAAGTCTTTAAAAAATAAATAAATAAAATACCAGGCGATTGAAGTGTTAATGCTGTTGAAGTTGCCCAATGAGTTCATGAGGGTCTGTGGTCTCCTCTACTTCTGGGTATGCTGCAATTGTTCATAAATTAATGAAGAAAGAAAACCTTCTAAAATAAGGATGGAAGCAACTAAACTTGAATTGAATCAACTTCCTTTAGGATGGAAGTTGGTGAGGTTAACGGGAATGCTGACTGAGACGGAGCCTCTGCTACATTCAAGAACTTATGAAGTAGGGTTTACTTAATAGAATGCCAGGAAATTCCCCAAAGGTGAGATATTTCAGATACACAGACTTCTGGGATGCCTTTTATGGAGGACTCTTCCACGACTGAAAGACTGCTGGCTAGCACAACAGCAGCTCAACAAATGAACAACAGCTCTCTGGTGAATTGTTTTATAGTATGGGGTGAAATATGGAACTCAAGCTGTCAGGTTCTGAATTTCTTGTGGCTTAGTATTAAAATGTTCTTAATGACATTTCCCTTGTTTTTCTTTGGTGAAAGCAACATGCTTTAAATTCCATCTGCGGTGGTTGGATTGACCATGGTGTCATTTAAGAGACTCGGGGAGTGTCTGCCGAGTACATGTTCTCCAGTGCATACAGAATGTTCAGTGAATTAGAAGCATTTTCCCACCTCCACTGATTTGGAACAATAAACATCAATTCAGCTTCTGAAGAGGAATTTTAGTTCAGTTTTTGAGCTTTTGGCTTCAGGAACAACATTGATCTCCTACAGTTTGGTACTTCAAGTGTAAGCTCTTCCCTCATTTTGTTCTGCTTAAATCAGAGCCATCACCTTTATCATATCTTCATTTGTGAGCCTGTCCTAAGTTTCAGGCTCTGGGCTAAAGATTTACATGTATTATTAACCTAGCAATTGACCTAAACTAAAACCATTTTTATCTTTTCAGATGAGGAAACTGTCTCACCATCTAGGTAAGGAAGTGACAGAACTAGAAGCGGAAGCTGCCTTACTCCATAGTTTACAATTTTTTCCATTATGCTGAAAAGTTGGAAATGCACTTACATGGTAGCTCATCTATGGGTTTTCAAGTTGGGGTTCTAGGACCCTAGGTTTTCAAGGAAGTTCTTCCCAGAATTTTTGGGTGGGGGGGGGGAGAAATGGAAAGAGTAAATATGGGGGGGGCGGTCAATAGGACTTAGGTTTTACTCATTATATTCCAACAAAGCAGCCTAATTTCTGTTGTTTAAGAGTGATTTTAGATTTTATTTAACAAAGGTTTTGTCTCTAAAAGATTGAAAACTCTTGATCTGGTTTAACTTTCCCATTTAAGAGAGTGTAAATGACTTGCCTAAGATTTTCAGGGACAGCATTAAGTTCAGTGATCTAAGGTTGTGCCTGAAACTCTTGGTCTTTCTGGGTCTTTTATCTCCTGACCAGTTAAATCACAAGGAAAAACAGGAAAGAGTTTGCAGTAAGACTGAGCTCTTTGCCCTGATCATGCTCCTTGAGAAATGGAAGGCAGGAATAACTTTACTTGGCAAACTACACCCTTTTTTGACCCTTTCACAAGTCTAGTATTGGTCAAACTTTACCTTCTGAACAAATTAAAATCAGGGTTAAGTCTATAATCTGTCTAAATGTTGAGTCTCTCTTTTCATTCAAATCAAAGGTAGTAGTAAAGAACACTTCTGCCTGAATCAGCTAGTTAATAACATAGCCTTGACCTGAGAGTACTCATAAACCTCATTGAGTGTTGATCACACTAAAAGCAACTCTCTTCACATGAGATACAATAAGTGTGGAAAAGCTACTGGACAGGTCAGGTATAGCCAAGGAAGAGTGAGCATCATGTAGACCATGTTGGTGTTTATGGGTGACTGCTAATGAGAGTCCATATGCCTTGACATCTTTGAGGCTCACAAGTCCCTGAACATCTGAGTTTCCTGACTGTCTCCAGATGTGCCCACCCCAATGGAAAGTCTCCCCAACTGACTAATTCCCCTAGAGTTGGAACCTCACTTTCTATGGTTTTCACTGCTAAACATGATAATCACATCCTCCACCAAACCTACCAATCACGTTTTCCTTGCAAAGCAGGGTATACCTCACCTTCCTGTCACTACAAAGCCTACTCTCTACATCTTGTTTACTTTATTCCCAGATGACACTCTGTGTCCCTACAGACTGCAGTGTCTACCTCCCTAGGTCTGATTACATGTGGCTAATAAATTGCTGTGCTCCCATCTATCCAATATCAGCTATCTTGTTTTGATCATTTCATAACCCAAGAGCAGCACTCTTTCCTTGACCAATGGGGTGAAGAGGAGAACAAAACAATGACTGTTTTTTTTTTAAAGATTTATGTGTGCATAATAACTAGGATATAGGCCAGAGGCTCAGGGGCGGTAAGAGGCTTCACCAGAGACAGAGTGGGGAACAGAACAGGCAGATCACAGAAGTACACTGCTGAGGGGAGCAAGTGGGCGGATCAGGAGAGGTCTGCTGCGCCATGTGGTCACCTCCGGGGCAGACGGGAATCGAACTCATGCGGAAGCAGCTTTAGATTCTCAGTGCTGTGCTTTAACCCGCTGCACCACCAGGGAGGGCCAGCAATGACTGGTTTTTAACACTAATACTAAATGGAATTTATACAGAGAATGGGTGCCAAATATCACATGCTTGGAGTTTTGTTAAGGGTCTGTCTACATATAAATAGAAGCAAATTTTACTGAAATTATTTTGGCTGGAACTGACCTTTATTAATTTCAAAACCCCAGAGCTTTCCCATCTGCTCTTTTTAAT